CCCCAGGGGCTCAGGCTGGACCCCGGGAAGCGTCTCGAGTGAGAGAAGCGCGCGCCGAGCCGACCGCCCCCGAGGAATACCTCAGCATCCTGAAGAACTCCTCCTTCGAGAGGAAGCCGTTCCCGTCGACGTCGTACATGGCAAACATCAGCTTGGACTTCTCCTCCGGGGACCCTGGTAGGGAAGAAGGCGGCTGGACTAAGCAACTCCTCCTGCTTCTGTTGCCAACTAAAGCATTTTACCCGGACTCAGGTGGGGCTCCTGGGGCCCGCAGTAACCCGCTCGCCGTCCCAGCTGTGAACGCGCCGCAGAACGGCGCCCGCCAGCGTCCGTCGGGGGACCTAAGCCAGCTTGTTTCAGCTGTGTTGGCTGCTCCCCGTGTGTGATTTCCCTCTCCGCTGTCTGGTGAGCTTTCCCAGCAGGAACAGACGTGAAACGAGAACTCGACAGCTGGCCGAACACAACGTTCGTCCATTTCAAATGCTTCCCTACATAGTCGCGTGCGAATTCACAGTTCACACGTGGGTTAGGGAAGGACACAACGTGGCATTTTGGGGAGCAGAATCAACCCTCCGGGTTCATATATGAACCCATGAGGGCACACAGCTGGAAAATCGCCAGCGGGCTCCTTCCGAACCACCCCACAGCCAAGGAGGAGTCACTGTGGAAAGCTGCAGGAACACCTGGCACCGTCATTACCTGTCTGCAGGCTACAAAGAGAGAAAGCGGCAACATCTGCCCAGCAAATTATTTACGCTGAACGATTCCCTTAGTTCTAGTCTTAATGATCAGCATGGAGCAAAGGTTTGCTGGCAGCCTCCTTATCTCATTTGGCCTTATTTCCTAATGTGTTGCAGGCGTGTGTTCCTTTCCAGCCTGGGGTGAAACTGGGACAGAGTCTGGCGCTATGGCCAGGAATAAAATCACGGTTGTTTCTAACTCGAGTGTCTACAGAGGCAGTTATCCCAGAATCGCTGCTGTAGTGATTCTGGTCAATTTCACCATGTAGACGCACTCTGAAGGAAGCTCCCGAATGCACCCACTACAGTGCAGTCCTTCCGGACTTCCCCAGGCAGGCTACTCCCCCAAACTGCCCGACACGGCAGGGACAAAAAGCCCGTGATAGCAGGGGTGGTTGTGGGTTGCCCCCTGCCACTGCCTCCTGAAGAGGCAGCAGGGGAGTTTGCTGGAACTTTACTCGTCTGCTAGTGCGTCAGAACATCCTGTGAGTAACATCACGGAGTGATGCCCGGTCGTGGTAGCTTAAAAACATCAGAACAGCCACACTGGGTCAGACCAAAGGTCCATCTAGCCCAGGATCCTGCCTCCCGAAAGTGGCCAATGCCAGGGCCCCAAAGGGAATGAACAGAACAGGGAATCATCCAGTGATCCACCCCGTCACCCATTCCCAGCTTCTGGCAAACAGAGTTTAGGGACACCATCCCGGCCCATCCTGGCAAATAGCCATCGACGGACCTGTCCACCATGAATTTATCTAGCTCTTTTTGGAACCCTGTTAAAATCTTGGCCTTCACAACATCCTGTGGCAAGGAGTTCCACAGGTTGACCGTGCTTCAGAGACTAACCAGTCAAACTTTGCCAGCCAGCTTGTCAGTCAAAGAGCTACAGGAGAAGTTAACAGGTGGAGGTCTCCCTTGCTTTTGTGAACTCATGTGGACACCAGTGACTACAGGAGGACAGGACACGGCCGTTCCTTTATGTTTCATTTGACAGAGGGACCATGCCGAGGTTCCGCTGAGTGTGATGGCTGGGGAGCAGGGTGGAGGAAGGAGGAAGCTGTTTAGCTAGGGCTGTGACTGCAACAAGAGGTTTCCTGCTGGCAATGTGAGTGAGTGACTCTCTCCGGTCCTCCTGCAAGGTCTCACCTTTCATGAAGACCACCAAGATGTCCAGGAACTCCCGGAAGGAGAGATACCCATTCCCATCTTTGTCCGCCAGGGAGAACATGGACTCCACAAACATGGACTGGGGCTTGAGCCCCAGCGACTCCGCAAACTCAGCCCGGCTCAGCTCACACTTCAGGGACTCTTTGGCTGTCAAGGACGTTTCAGAGTTGAGGTCCCCGGCGTCCGACTTGTTAATGTCCAGCACCTGCGTGGAGAGAGGCAGGCTGAAGGCGAGTCCCGTACTCAGGCCAGGGAGAACATGGACTCCACAAACATGGACTGGGGCTTGAGCCCCAGCGACTCCGCAAACTCAGCCCGGCTCAGCTCACACTTCAGGGACTCTTTGGCTGTCAAGGACGTTTCAGAGTTGAGGTCCCCGGCGTCCGACTTGTTAATGTCCAGCACCTGCGTGGAGAGAGGCAGGCTGAAGGCGAGTCCCGTACTCAGCACCCAG